ATGCAGTAATATGTTTTAATGATTGGTGTACAAAGCCGGAGTAAAGTAATGGAATTATTAGGAATGCAACCCGGGTTTTATATGGTAAAGAGTCTGAGAAAAATAGATTGTCTTAGAATTCGTGAGCTCGCTTACCAAAAGCTTTCTAAAATGGCCAGAAAGAAAAAATAATTTATAAAACAAAAACAGTTTGATGTAGAAATGTCAATTCAAGATGATTATGGTGCAAGAAAATATTAAAATGATATTCTTTATAAATTATTAGTGTTTAAATGTGTTTTTCTTAACTTTCGGTACATTTTTCTTGAAAACTATTCGACCTGGAAGGTTCCAATTTCCTATAGTTGTTTATCATTACTATTTCTTTGAAACTATGCAGGATATAAAATTTACGAGCATTAGTATTGGATATATTACTAATTTAATACTAATTTTTTTGTGATTTTTCAAAGCATTTTACTAATTTATTTTTAATATTTTTTCTTTTTAAGTAAAATGTAAAATACTGCTTATTATTCTTAAATGATATGTTTTTAACTACCATGCACGATTTGAGGACGATTGGTGCAGTACTTTTTAAGAAAACTGTACCGAACTAGCACATTGTCAGAAGAGATTCGTCAAAGGTAAGTGAAATTAAACAACTGTTTTTTAAAAATATTAGGCATTTAATACATATTTTATGTGTTTTCTGTAATCTATAATCTATGCATTTTAAATGAAAAAAAGAACCAAGTGTATTTTGCCAGTCGACATGTCGCATGTCCCCTTTTAGACAAATACGAATTTCTAGAGTATGAGCATTCCCTACCAGTGTGGTTTTTCATGCATTAGTGAAAGAAGAAAAGCTTTAAAATTTAGATTAAGGAACATGAAAAATGAAAGAAACATCTAAACTCGTCTACTGCACAACATTAGTCTTGGAATCATATTTTTCAAAGTAATTTTATTGAAATCATCTTGAAACCTTCAGAATTTACCCAGTTAGATATCCTTATCTCACTTTCTTTTCATTTCTTTTTATTAATATAAATTGTCAGAAAATTGCATACGGAAACTGATGTATGGATAAATTGAAAACATACTCAGTTTGTCCTTTAACCGACTGAAAATGTAGATGGAATTAGACTAAGCTTTGAACGTGCTACTGAGATTTTGAAAATGCAGATACAACTTAGGGAAGAATTTTCAAACAAGTATTATCTACGCGAGTTAAAGCACTCGAAATGGAGAAAAATTTGAAGCTAATCGGGCTGTTCAAAACGCGTAAAGAAATGCTGTAGAAGACCACGGACATCAACGCGCCTCACAGGCAAGAAACGCTGATGGAAATGTATAGCCAGAACTGAAGAAAATTTGTGAGGTAGGAATTTCAAAATAGCGTGACTATAACATTTTCAAGCGCCTGTCATTGAAAAGTTATATTCAAGAACTTTTCAATTTCTACATGATTGACTCACAGACACTATACATTTACAAACATCCATGGATTCGAACCCGGGCCCTTCGGTACTACAGTCAGAGTCACTAAGCACTATCCCAGTTGGGTGGCATTCAGAGCTGGATTGACGATTAAGTAAAATAAGCAGGTGCTTAGGACATCAAGAGGCACCACAAAAATTTCCCATTGTCTGTTCTACCATGGAATATGGGATGCAGCTAAACCGAGAGAGAAGAAATGAGGAAAAAAAAAACCTTTGAAATGCTTAGAGCTTCTAAAAAGTCTTCATCCGGCCGTGGGGCTGTTTATTTTTTAGACAAATGTACATGAGGGATATTTTACAGAAATAAGGAGAAAATAACAAAAGCTATATTAATGGAAGAATATTCCTGAAAATGAAAAAGATGCTATTTAAAAAGAAATTTTACAAATATCGAATAACGTTTCTAATTTAGATATGTTCGCAGAGTTTTTATTAGGTGTTTTAATACTTGTTTGTACCCGACTAAGAAGCTTTTCAGCAAGTTTCCTTTCAAACGCGAAGCAACAGAATCGCAAGTAAAAAAAAAAACAAAAAAACAACTATCTAGAAGCGCTGTGAGTTCATTCTGAAAATAGAATGAACTACAAGTGAAAAAGAAATCTTCCGCCTTCACATATAAAACTCACAAGGTTAGCGAAGCCTCGACCCGCGTAGGTTGAGCGACTGGGACCAACCGGTAGGACCGGAGCTGCGAGTAGCCAACGCAAAAAAGGTGAACGTGCCCCAGCCTCAATTTTCCAAGCTTTAAATAATAATCAAGTTAATCTGGCAACACCCTTTCTCTTTCCCATTTCGAAAGGTGTAGCCTTTAAGCTGATTTTCTCCCGCCATTATTTTATGACATTTGAATGAAAACAACAATGATTTTCAATTCTAGATTTCGTTTTTTTTTTTTTTTTTTTTTTTTTTTTTTACAACATTTTGCAAACCAGCTATATACTTTTAAAGTGAGTTTTACAAAATGGTGGACATTTTTATTTTAAATATTCAAGTTTCTATTTATTCCGATTAAATAAGCTGGCATGAATTGCTTTAAAAATGTTAAAAAATTTTCCTTTTTTTCATGCAATTTCCCTTCGCATTTCGAACCTTTTAGTTACGCAGAATAGCGCGCTTGATATTGACAAAAGGACTATATTTATGCATTTATTTGCATAATAAAGCTAGAACTTAATATATCAGCATTTTATACGCAGTTCGAACTTGGAAATGCATATAAGAGCAGTTTTATAAATTTATTAATGAAATAGAACATCCCACTTACATTTTTAAATTTTGACTCCATTCCATTTTTGATGAAATTATACCTGAAGTTAGGTTATTTGAAGAAGGCAAGCCACACGAGGACTATCTGTCTGAAGGAATGGATGCTTCCGTACCGGCAAAGTATAGAAAGTCCGGCATTCTATAGAATGCGTAGGCATTGTATATAATGCCTAAAAACTAGCCGGCAATGTATGAAACGATTCATATTTAACACATTTCCTAGGCATTCTATAGAATGCCAAATGACAATCCGGCAAAGTATAAAATACATTTGCGATTCGTTTCGAAGAACTGAAACTACTTACCAAAGTTAATAAATGATGTAAAAAATGACTACTAAGAAGGAACCACGGGACTACTGGCCGCCGAACCGCTAGGTTGTGATGTTTGTGGAAAACAAAAGTACATTCATTTGTCCTGTTAAAGAAAGCGTCAGTACTATGCAGTATTGCGTCACGGACGCTGAGTTATTTTCCGTATTTCGTGAAAACTCATTTGAGTACTGCACAGGAATGACGGGAGAGAATATCGAAAGAACTTTCAACCAATTACAAATACGTTACACGTAATGATATTGATCTGTAACAACCACCTTTGTAAGCCCTGCCATAAAAAACAAAAAAAATATTAAAAAGGGCACTGATTGTAAAATTTATGATTGTTTCTGACTTTGACTTCCGTTGTCAGGTAGATCTTACCGATTCCCAGTCTCAGCCAGATAGAAAATACAAATTTATTACGCTGTATCAAGATCACCTATTTTTTATACATATTTTGAAGAACAGTTTTTAATGGCACTCTTTCATTAATGTTTCACTATAACGTTTGTATTTTAGAGGAATGAACGTCTTTTAAATAATAGCCTTATCATAACCTTTTTTTATATATATACTTTGCCTAAAGAGCATTTGTCATTCTATAGAATGCCCAGGTATTACATACAATGCCTAGGTAAAGTATATAATAATTCTCTTTATTTCATACTTTTCTAAAATCGTCCGGCATTATACACAGTGCCTAGGCATTCTATAGAATGCCGGAGTTTAATACTTTGCTGGTAACATATGTACTTATAATATTCTGACAATATTTTCATTTCCTCTCACATAAGTGCATTTATGGAGATTTAAAAACTGACAGTTTTATTATTTAGTTTTTTATCTTGATACCTTCTTAAATTCTTTAGCATTTCTTTTTTGTTACACTCAACAAGAAGGAAACACTCAAATTAAAAAGTTTATTTTCTATAAAAGCATACACAATTAAAATAAAGTAAACCTATCAAATGAATACATAAACACTTATATCCTTAAATTAGTATTATTTAATTCACTATTAAACTTTAATAAAATAAATGATGACAATAATCTTACATTGAGTCGACTACAGATAACAAAAACATTTCATAATTCATAAAAACCTAGACTACTAAGCAAAATTACGTCTTCTTCATAAAATCAAAGTCTTGAATTTATTTTTCACAATTAAAATCAGAATTCCAGCAAGTCTGTAACAAAATCCTTTTATTCCATTGCGCTGCGCATTTTTGTATCAATCGAAAATAAATTAATAACTTTCAGAGTATACCTTGCTGTAACGTAAAATATAGTACATTTTAATGGCTTTCAGTGATTGAGCTCTCTTTTAAATAGGCAATTTTTAAGCACAAAATTATATACGAAACACGCATAATTGTGCGCCATGATATATATTATTATTTAATAGGAAAGTTAAAAGGCAAATTAATGAAGAACTTTAGCCTATTATATGAACAAATACATGTGAGGGAAAAAAAATGCTTTAAAAAAAATCTGGAATCTTTCATATTTGGCATTACACCCAAAAGGGCGTTTTTTTAACGTTTTGTGTGTTACCTTTACTTATTAAATATCACGTTCTTCGCACTTAAACCATAAAATTGAATTCATCAGCAGTACCACAAAATAATTTCAAAAGAGCTTAACTTTAGAATTTCCGATACATAGTCTCGGTCACTGAAGATAATGTTTTCCCCCGTACAATGTTGCCATTGTTCGCTTTGAAATCGTTGCGTTTGTAAATCAAAAATTCGTTAAAGTTTTAGAAAATATTAAACAAATTCCAAATTTGGGCTTCTTGATGCCCATATTCGAGTGGAGGACTATGTTATTGAAAATTTGATGTCTCTAGGTACCGCTGCTTTTTCACAGTGCGAGAAACATACATACATACATTCACACAGATTTTCATTTAATTTCTTTATATATAATACACGGCGGAAAGTGAAACACCGTTTATAGTGAACCAATGCAAAATGTCAAAACGAAATTAATAGCCCTTCTGGGCAAATTGTCCCTTTGGGCTAAAAAAAAAATAAGTAAATAAAAAATGAAAGAGATTAATGCATTGCATACCAAGCCCTAATACACAGAGCCTTGATATACAGTGTATTTTAGTGTGTTCGCATTTGCTTGAGAAACTCTCTAATGAAACCGTTTTATTATTGTTAATATTTCAATTGTTCATATTATTTATTTAATAGTTCAAGACGAAAACATTTTATCTTTACAACTTACTCCTGAGTACTTTTTTTAATTACAGCAAAATTGAAGTATTGAAGTTTATGAAGTTCGTTAGCATGAATTTAATAAATAAGCAAGATAAATGCGATTGTATTTATATTACGTGTCCTACCCTAATCAATATCATGGCAGCTAAAGACAATCTGCGCATTACAAAGAAAATACATGTGTATTTGGAAATTTTTATTAGATGTTTTTGAATACGTACTCGTAACCGATAATAGGGTAAATGTGATGTGACTGCAACTACTTCTTATGCAAAGTCTCTTTTGTTAAGAATTGATCTGGATATTATTTAAAGGAAGAGTGTTAGTCATATTAGTGTTAAAAATATACTTAATTTCCAATATATGGTACGAAAAGCGAAGGTATACTCATATTTTTGCAGAGCAGTATAATTCCATACATGATCCACAATCAAAATGCACCAAAATTCTTTTCATGGATTATCACAGATAACGTAAAGTTTAGTAACTATTTATAAAGCATCACGTTTGGCAAATGTGCTCAATCTGCGTTCATCATCCATCAGGCATTCGAAATAAAATAATTTAATCATCGTTTGCTCCGGTTTTTAACCGAAAACATCTTCCAAAAAGAAAATTTTCCTTCATCCTTGCACGGTTGTTCCATTTTACTCCTATTCTCGGGTGGCACTGCTCTGCTGTTGCCACATTGTATGTCAGGAGTTTTTATGTGATGGTGCTGCTTCGTTTGCTCTTGCGTATCATCGTCGGAACTATTAGGATTGTCTGTGCTACAGTGTCCCGAGTCAGGTTCATTGTCCTTGAGGAGATCGAGAACATTCTGCTCAGATTTTGACACTTTCGCACGCGTGAGTGTAAACGTACGATCATTCGATACTTTATTAATATTCTTTGTGGCAGGATTAGTCGAATCTTTAAGCACCAATTCTGGATCATCTACAAAGGCTTGGGCTAAATTGCGACTAATCTGCTTTCGAATAGTCTTCTTCATAGACAAATGGCGTTCGAGGTGTCGAATATCTCTCTCAGTTAGGGTTCTGTTGGAGTAATGGGCTGAATCTTTGCTCTTGGAATTAGCATTCTTCTGATTGTCGTCTGTTTTTTTATTTTGCTTTAGTGGTTCGGAAAAATCTTCAAAATTAGAAGGTCGATTTCTGCTGTTCTTCTTATTGCCGCTACTAATGTTTGGTCGATTTTCAGGAACGTGATAGCTATGGTTTGATGTATGGTTTTCATAATCTTCCATATAGTCATATCGTCTGCGACTACGAGGAGAATAGTCATAAGACCGTAATTCCTGCTTCGCTTTATTTGAAGAATCAGCAATATAACGGCCGAAAATGTCTCTTACATCAGGAATATTACGTTCCATCTTCTTCTATTCTATTGCAGCTGGCAACCTGAAATAAATAAAGAAAAATGTAGACAGAAGTTCTGAAGTTAAGAAATTTAAAAAGTATTTTAAGTAAGTGAAAAACATTTGACATACAAAGATATTTGACCTTCGGTAGTATTCTGGATAAATGAACAATCTGCTCTTAAGTCGTATTCAAGATGAGTAAAAATCTGATCTTAGGTTAATGATTAATCCTTCTCTTGCTGCTCCTCATACTGCTGCTGTACCTCATGCTGCTCCCCCTCTTGCTGCTCCCCTTCCTGCTGCACCTCCTCTTGCTGCTCCTCCTCTTGCTGCTCCTCAGTGGAGAAGGAGCAGCAGAATGAGGAAGAACAGCATGAGGAGGAACAGCAAGAGGAGAAGCAGCAGTATGAGGAGCAGCAACATGAGGAGGAGCATGAGGAGAAGCAGGAGGAGTAAGATGAGCAGTATGAGGAGGAGTAAGAGGAGGAGCAGCAAGAGGAGGAGCAGCATGAGGAGGAGTAACAGGAGGAACATGAGGAGGAGAAGCAGCAGAAAGAGGAGCAACAGGAAGAGCAGTAAGACGAAACATATATTCGTGGGCTGAATAATTTTGCTTCGGGGCCCACGTGCCATAGCGCCACCACGTGCTACCAGCCATCTTCCCACGTGCCGCCCGCGGCCCGCCATTTTATAATTGTAAAGAATAATGTTGTAGTTGTAAAGATAATATTGTAACATTTAAATGATAAATATCGCATCTGCCTTTGGAGAAGAGAACGGAGATTTGGCATCTGCCTTTGGAGGTTTATTTCATTCAATATTTTTAGCGTGAAATTTATGAGAGAATATTCTTCTGGGGGCAACTGATGTCATGTGTTTGAAATATTTTACAATTTAGCAGGCCATTATGTATTATTTTGAAATAATACATAATGGCCTGCCAGGTTGACTACTGTTTCCGAAGCAAAAATGTTTGACATCTGTATCATGACTGGTAATATAAAAGCAGCTACAGCAATTGAAGATCTACCAAAACACACTCGCGGTTTAGTCCATTGACGGTTATCGCAAATACAATTATACAATTAAAATTGCAGGAAAGAAGAATAAAATGTGTTATAATAAATAAAAACTGACAGTTAATATTTTAAATATATTTTAAGCAATTTAATTTGTAGACAAGATTATTTGGCTATGCAAAATAACATAGCACTCAAAACAAGAACGTTCTTTTGAAAAAAATGGAGAAGAAAAAGTCTGAAAGGATTTAGATTGTAATTTCGCATCAGAGAGTTTGTTAAGGTTTTTTGTTCTGTTACCGCTGAGCTCGCGGTTTATCTGCCTGCTCTTGGATGCACTCCTCCTTTTTATAACCATTATTAGTTTATTGTTGTTATTGTTATTCAAGAAAAGAAATGCAAAACCTCGCTTGTTCCACCAGATAGGTCATGAGGGTTGCAGAAGTAAGGAAATAGCTCAGCAATACATAAGAGCTATAATACAGATGAATAAGACAACACAATAATATATGACACCTAGATCTGGAGAGAATAACGAATATAATGTTCCGATTTTGTATTTATTTAGCAATTTTTAATAGAATTGTAATTAAAATCGTTTTATTTCCCCGTGCAATGCAGCGCGTGACAAGTTTTAAGAGAAGCTACCCCGAAAAAGTAAAAATTGGAGCACGCGCATTTAATAAATAGATATCTGGTAGTTTATATTAAAACTGAATAAATGTAATTGACTACTGTGTTAGCTGTGACCGTAATTCTACTCTTTTGCTTTCCAGAAACTGTTCTAAAAGAATGTTCTCAAAAAAAAAAAAAAAAAAGAAAGAAAGAAAAAGAAAAAGACAAAAAAGAAAAGGTCTGGAGCACAAAATAGAAAAAGGAAATTGCAACGAGAGGAAGCTAATCAGAAACTGGCGGGATCTCTAAATAAACAATAGGATTAGACCAGTTGTGTAGCTAGGGTGGGGCAAGGGGAGGACATCCTTCCCCGGGCGCAGCATTGGGCGCCAAATTTGATGATACACATTTCAGAATGAAATGTTTTCCATTCTTGGGACACAGAAAGGGGAGCAAAATGTTTAGGTGTCCCCGGGTGCTTAAAACCTTAGTTACGCCCCTGGATTAGACGTACAAGCAATTAAACTAGGACCGTCAACATCAACATCTGGTTTGGAATTTCATGATGAAAATTTATCTCAAAATGTAAATTCATCAGAATATGATCAAGAAGAAGCCACGATTCGTACCAATAGAAAACTTAGATGTTGATGTAGAAAATTTGCCGGGTAATATCTCAAAACTAAGATTTTGACTTTGAATTTAAACCATCCAGCTACCTGGCCTGATACAATTTCTATAAAAATTGGAGATTATTTAATTGAAAATGGCCCTCCCCGCTTGATAACCAAACATTTACTAAGAGATAATTCTGGCAGAAAGTTTTCAGAATCGTTCTATTATAGAACATTACCGAATGGAGAAAAAACTATTTAGAAATTATTTAATACATTCAAATTCCCGAAACGCAGTTTTTTGCTTCCCATGTAAACTATTCAGTGAGAAGTATTAACAGCTTATTAAGGATGGATGTAATGATTGGGCACATTTAACCCACCCACATTTTGAAAATACATGAAAGCAGTCACATTAAACATAGTTAAAAATGCAGTGAACTCAAAATGTCTTTGCGTAATTTACGTATACTATTGATGCAGCTCAACAAAGACTTTATGATGCAGAAAAGGTTTACTGGCGATCGGTTATTGAACGGCTTATTTATTTAATTCAATATTTAGCCCGGCAATGCCTTGCATTTAAAGGTTCTTCGAAAAAGTTGTATCATAGTGATAATGGAAATTTTTTGAAGTTGGTTGAAACCATAGCAAAATTTGATACAATAATCGCTGAACATCTCCACAAAATTCAAACATCTCAAAAGAAGAACATTTATATCACTTGAATTCTTAAAATTTTGCAGCAGGAAGTTGGTTAATTTATTTATTAGGATAATTAACATTTGTATTAAGGGATATTTCTTATTTCATTGTAATTATTTTAACATGTGGTACATTTTTATTGAATTTTTTTTTTTTTTTTTTTTTGATAAAGTTGTTCTGCAGAGTAAAATTCTGTGCAGGTTTTTTAATGTAATGTTGGTGTTCCCTTTAGCCATTTTTACGGTACATTTAGCCAGACAAAGGCTAGCCGCTTAGCGGTTAGTATTCCAATATGAATAATACCAAATAAAAGTCTAAATGCTTATTTACCATTATCTGTAACGGGGGAAAAAATCACTATTCACGAAAATACTAACAATTTTATTTTTTTAAAAAAGACAGTATGAATATTCTATATCTATTTTCTATTTCATTTTTGCTTATTATGATGAAAAAACACAACGCATCTCTTCCATGAAAATGACTCCCGGCAGGACGAAGAGTATAAGTTCAAAACAATATACATATTTAAAGAAATTACCTTTCTTTAAATATGTATATTGTAGAGATATGATTCAAATATAGATGTTCACAGTTATCTGTACCAAATATCACGGATGATCTAAATTCAACATGAAGAGACGGCACTAGACGATTAAGAAAGTCAATCGTCCGTTCATTGTTTTTTTTAAGGTTGTGCAGTTACGGTTGGAGTCACGGAAATGAAACTCTGGTAACGGTTAGATGATTATCTAAAACCTGCATGGCTCCGCGAGTAAGGAAAACTAAATTTTCATCATTTCCGAGCGGTCGGTGAAGTGCGAAGCTGTTTGTTCTAGATGTCTTTCTGAACTCACATGTGCTATCCGAGACTTAGTATTGATTAAGGTGGTGACACAAGTTCAGTGATTAGCAGTAACTATTTATACTGTGCAGGATTACGAAGAAGGCTTACACAAATTAAGCAATCGCAATATTCCATAAAATAAAGCGACTGGGGTTTTTAGGGGACCCAGTCGCCAAATCCTGGGTGAGGAGAATCATTATCCAACACTCTTTTTAGTTCGGGCGCCACTGTAGAGACATTAGGATTTTTGGAAAGCCGGAGAGATGAAATATTAGCAATCGCCTTCGACGGGAACCGGACCACGGATCTCTGAAATACCGGCGCAGCGCGCAGAACCACTACACCACGAAGGCACGCTAGGAAGCCGGGAGAAATGCCTTATAATACAATTAAATAATGAAGAATTCGCGTGAATGTATGTATGTTTCTCGCATTGGGAAAAAGCTAAAGTACTTAAAACCATCAAATTTTGAATAACATAGTCCTCCATTCTAACATGGGAGTCGTATAATTTAATATTCCGTGCAAGGAAGTCATGCGGTGTACACATCAGATTTTTGTTTCTCCCTACAATTATATGGCCATCGGAATAAAAAAATGTTAAATTTGCTTTCGTCTCCAAATAAGACATGATTCTAACACGCTTTGGACTTTTTTACCATTGATTTTGAGAAGCAAAACCTAAGCTTTCCATTCTTTGCACTTCCAAAAAATTTTCTTCGAGGAGAGCTGTCATATAGTCCACCTAATCTGAGTACTCTTCGAACAGTTTTAAGTGAAACTGAAGTAGAAAATTCGTCAGGTAAATTCTGCAGAAGTCTTTAAAACACTCAAACGTGGATTTTTCACAGATTTTCTAACTATAAATCTCTGATCACGTTGAGTTACATCGAGTTCTCTTTGCCAGACAACCTTTTTTTTATTTTCGATCCGATTTTCATCTTTAAAGCATTTTGATAAATTTACTAATTCAGCGATATCCCGAATCGAAATTCCACCCTTATGATAAAAAATGATCAATTTTCAAATGCTGTTCGTTGTTTCCTTACGACTACGAGCCATCGCTAAACATTAAATAAAATGTAACAAAGCAAGCAAGCAAAAAATAAAGCCAAACAATTTTTTAACGTCACCAAAATGCAAAAATAAAAAAAAAAGTGGTAGCCGGTAATTGTATTTATGAAATTTTACGAAAATATTTCGGAATAAGATCAGTTTTGTGGGGTATTTTATTTATGCCTCTTTACATTTTCAATTTTAGAAAAAAGAAAATAAGTCAGTATTAAAAATTAAAAAGTTTGGTTTTGTTCAAAGTTAAGTGAAGATGATATGAAAAAATATTTGGGCTTTATATTCGAATTCATTTCCAGGTTCATTAATAAACAGTCATTAGATGGCGCGTTACAAAATGTTATGACTTTATTTTTTGTTATTAACTTTTGGCAACGAGAATAAACAGACGGTTTTGTAGAAAGATGAGATGTGAGACGTTCGGCTGTAGTGTTTCTGTATATCTTAACGTTGAATTATTATGAAATTAAAAGTTTTTTTCTTCTTCTTAAGATGTATAATTTATTGGTCAGGTTTCCGAAAATAGGAGTCGGCAAGCTCAAATCCGGGCAACACTTTGAAAGGAACAAATGTAAGTGAAACCTTTTTCATTGAATTTTAGAACGTAGAACTTAGAATTTATCGTATATGAAGTTTTCTATAGACACTGTATGATCTTCACTACTCTTTAAAGTGCAACATAAGTTATTTGAATGAGGTTTGCTGACTCTCTCAGCTCAACTGACTGACATTTACACTGTACGTAAAAAAAAATAAAAAAAATAATAATAACTCATGGGTGTTCAGC